ACGTGTCCTAACCAACGGAACCTACTGAGCCGAATTCGATACACTAGCGCGTTCGTGTTCCATAAATTTCCAAACACCCCTTCCCCGGCTTATTTCTGAATTACTAACCCGCTCACTCCTTCCCACTTGGGCCAGACTACCCAAGGAACGCTTGTCGAAGACTGCTAAACAACGGATCTCTTCTACCCATAGAACTGATCCTACAGTTGCTCAGTGTACGCGACTTTTCAACTTCAGTGAAACGTCACGTCGTTGCCACAGGTGTTTAAGTCTTGCGTACGCTGCTCAAGCCTTGGGAATTGGGGTGGTTATCTCCTCTGATGCGGTACCGTCGTTTGTCAACGAGCTACCCAAGTACGAGAAGCAGTCAGCTTCAGCTAATTCCTGACCGTCTAACTTCAGAATGGAACTCGGCGGCACCCAGTCTTGCAGCATTACTTTGCACTTTGAAGAGGCGAAGCGCATGCCGAACTGAGCAACGGAACTTGCTAATCTGCCAAGTGCTCTTTGTGCATCCTCCATACATTCGAACAGGCATACGATGTCAGCGTGCTATAGATCACACAGCTTTTCTCCAGCTGCCCATTCATTACCTACATTTTTGAGACCACTTGGTGTGTTCTCCAGTATTTCGTTTATGACGAAATTAAATAGGAATGGCGAAAGAGAGCACCCTTGACGAACTCCACTGCTAGTTACGAATGACCTACTCAGTTCATCGTAGACCCTTACGCTACCAGAAGCATGTAAGTAGAGTGAACTCATTATATTCACGTACTTCTGCGGCATTCTTTGCGAAAGAGCGAACCCATAAGGGATTCACGGTCAACTGATTCGAAGGCGGAGAACTGAAGAAGTCGATCGCCTTTATCTGTTCGCTGGCAGGGCAGAGCACAATGACCACCTAGGCAAGCTTCCGATGCTCTTAGTTTTCCAGCTTGAGCGTTAAAATCACCTGCGAGAACAACTATATCCTAGCTTGGGCTCAACCGAATGATTTCGGTCAGTTTATCATGAAACTCATCTTTTTGTGCGTCAGAACTGCATTTGGTCAGTGCATATGCCGAAATGATGAACACACACCTTTTGGTGTTGCTTCCCTTATTTGTGACAAAATGTTTCGCGGCGAGCTCAGTTGTAGCTTCTTGTTACCAAATAACTTATTTTGAGCATGAACACTTGAGGACTTGATGAGATACGATTACTCTTAGTTCAGAGTTCTTATTGCACTCATGATTCACTTACATCATCGGTAGATTATGTTATCTGGAGAAAGATCTTTCGCTTTTGAAATGTTATATATTTCAAAAGCAAACGCGCTCTATTTTTCTTTACATTTTTAATCCTCGAAATTGGTAGGACGATCTCCTTTTGGATATTCGACTACATCGAGTGAACACAAAAGTCATCTTTGACCTCTTGGTTTTTACCAGTGTTTATTATGACGAATTCGCCGAATGTATGTTTATACCTAGTGTTTTTCTTCTTGCAGTTTAATTGAACGAGAACAAGTTTTACAATTTCAGTATCAGTAATATCCCTTTTCAGTAATCCTGCTCGATTCATGGCATCCCTGATTCATGTTGGATACAGGAATCCATACCGCCTCATTCGCTTGCTGTTTCCGATTGAGCTCGCTCGCTTGAGATTGCATTCGAAACCAATTGGCTCATTTGACGAAGCCAAAGAAGCCCTAAATACTCTTCGGACGGACCCGGGAAACGATGTAAAATTGCAGATCTATGCCCTGTATAAACAAGCAACACTAGGTGACTGTAGAGACCGGAAACCAAACCTTCTGAACTTTGTCGCTGTAGGCAAATGGCAAGCCTGGAATTCATTAAGTTCCATGACCAAAGTGAGTCGACTGAGTTTCACTTTTCTTACTCGCCGACCAGATCTTTCACGAAATAAATTATACACTGGTTGCTGAGACTACGCTGGCTAAATCCAGCACTGTTTATTAAGTCTGCGTTGGGATTTACAAAAGTAAAATTCGCCTTTAGAAATACATCGTTGCCTTGGAATGGACGGGGAATGTCACACGGTCTAGTATGGATATTGCCGCATCATTGAAATCATATTTTCCATGGTTCCATCTCAACTGGGTATTTGCCGATAAAACACGAAACTGTAATCGCAATAATCTGCGAGACAGTTCTTCCTTACATAGCCATCAAATGACCCTGGGTAGTGCATTCCGAAGCATGGCGTTTAGCTGTTTACTGAGGTTAGGAATTAGTTCGGAAACGTCGCTGGCTGGGATAGCATTTTCACTGTGTTTGCTTGGTCACCGTACTGCAGTTACAGTGCAACTGATGATCACCAAGTAGCTGATTTCGATCAATGAATGTCAGCATCTTTTGAATTTATAACGTACTTCCTTCAGGTATAGCGCATCAGGTCATCGATAACGACAAACCACTGTTATCTTATTGCTAATTTTGAGAGAACCACTGATTGAATTTAGAATCTAAAATGAGATCTAATCCCGTAGTACAGATAAAGCGTTAATTACTGGTGATCATCTATGACTGTTTTTATCAGTGAAACCTGTTGTGCTAGAATACTTCACGTCTCGTTTTACTGTGCTTGAAATGTGGGGGTCTCCGGTTTTCACGGTAAGTTTGAAAATGGTGGTGAATAAATAAAAAAAAATCAATGTACCATCCGTCAATTGGATTTTAATAACGACCTTTTCTTTAGCATCATTTACTCATTGCAATTTGTCCCTGTGTGCTGGAGATCAGAGTTTATCAAGTGGATATTTGCAGACTTGAATAAATAAATTTTACTCTCACATTGACCACATTCAATTTCGGCTATCACTCTTGTCTTCATTAAAATGCCGTAAGTCTTTTATCTGTCTTTATTTTCTCGAACAGACCTAACCAGTGATATTGTCAATTATGTCGGTCATGGGAAGGTGGGATAAACTGTCCGTCTGTCACTTCTTCCGCGTCCAAACGGGTATTCAAAAGACAAACCATAACCGCCGCACAAAAGTGCATGGTTAATGGAGGTAAAGGCTGAAACTGAAACTATTCCGCGTGTGCGAACCCCGCCACATGTACACTAATTTCCTAATTATGGTTTGACTGCCTTCAATCGATCGCGGTCCCCTTCATGAGTAGTAATACTTTATTCTTTATTTTGGCTGCTTCTTTTGCGAAGCTAAGCCAGATTCATGAAAATTAGATTTCGCTATGTTTAAGGAGAGTGACGTTTCCAACGTCGCCCAGCTTTGTACTCGCGAATGCATCTTTAGCCTGTACATAACCAGATGTATTATGCAGTGATGCCCTTTGATTTTAGACCCCCTTTTTTGCCGTTGCTTNCGTTTCAGATCCCTTTTTATTACCGTGATGTACTGAATACGAGATGACAACAGTCGGTAGTTGCTCGAGAGAAAGAGAGAAGATTGAGAGCCCAGAGATGTAAGGCTTTATTCGTCTAACAACTCTGGCATATAGGCTAAAACGTATAAAAGAGAAATGTTATGAATACAGTGATATGCAGTAGACAAAGGGTGTTATACACGACATTCTCCCCTGGTAAAGAAAATGTTGTCAGGCCTCTCTGCTTCTTAAGTTATACGGGCGAGTTCGTTGCTGTAATTCTAAAAGTGAAGGTTGTTGGTTGTTCGCGGGTTAGGGATAGTTTGCAATATGAGGTAAAATAAAATCATCTGTAGATTGGTTGTGTGCACTGTCAATAGGGGCATCATTTGATATAGGTTCGATGAATGGAGTTTCGGGGACTGATGGTGGATACAGTGATGGTACAGGGGTTAGATGATGAATGGACACCGTTTCTTCCCTACCGTTTGGAAGACTGACGTAGGCGTACCTTGGATTACATTCAATCAGCTCTACCTCGTGAACCAGTGGCTCGTACTTTGATACCCGAGGGAGGCGCTTCATTAAAACCGGTCCACGAACAGTCAGCCAACTTGGCNGTGATTCGCCGGATGTTGACTTGCGATTATACTTAAACAGACGCTCATGAGGGGACTGATTTGTAGCGGTACACAAGAGGGAACAAAGAGAATGTAAAACATCAGGAGAAGAACTTCCCACTACTCACTGTAAGATAAAGATCTGGATTTGGCGGCTAGGATGATTGCACGCCAAAGTGTACCGTTGAATCGTTCAACCTGTCCGTTACTTTGCTGGTTGTATGCGGTGGTTCGGCTAGTTACGATTCCTTTAGCATGAAGGAAACGTTTTAGTTCATCTGACATGAATGAGGAACCACGATCGGTGTGAATGTAAGATGTACCAAATACAGAAAATAATTAACAGAGGTGATTGATGACGGTAGTAGTTGTCATATCGATACACGGGAATCGCGAATATTCATCAATTATTG